AGCAAATAGATTTGTTATTTTTAGACTGAAGACAAATTTTACCACACGCTGTATCAACTAGATTGATTATGGGCTTATGAATCCAAGTTACACCTTTAAATAAGGAAACAATATTAGAATTAATTGCAGAGAAAACAAGAGAAAATTCCTTGGGAGTTACAGGAAAGTTAAAATGTACAAGAAACTCGTCATATGTCATAAGATACCCTTGAGTGTTAAACAATTGACAAACTAAAACAATACCCTTTTCAAACCACCTCTCCAAAAAGATACTCTTGCATTTATACAAAATACATCTATTGTTCCAAACAAAATAACGTTGTGGTGAAAAATTGTGCTTGTAGATCAGTTTCCACGCCAACAAGGCTTGAGCATGAAAAGCAGAGAGCTTCACTGGTAATTTCTCAATTTTATAATCGCATAATAACAAAAAGGAAAGACCTCCAAGTTGGTCAAAAATAAAATTGGGAATAAAATTCCAGAAAGAAGGTTTATTTAGACAAAACTTTAACCAATTAATTTTAAGAGTGTTATTTAGAGAAGAGAAATCCAAAAAGTCAAGACCCCCATTTTTAAGGGAATTTAAAACAACAGATTTGCGCATGTAGTGTACACGATTCTTCCATAAGAAGTTAAATAAAATCGTATCAATAGACTTGACTGTTTTATTATCTAGATATAAGGTTGAAGCAAAATAGATTAATCTAGAAATTCCTACTGCTATTGAAAGAAGAACTCTGCCCCTTAAGGACAAATCCCTTAATAACCAAAGATTGAATTTACTTTTTATCCTTTCGAAAACAGGGTTAAAGTTTAAGGAAACTCTGTCTTGTTCTTTTTTTGAAATGCCAACACCTAAAAAGTTAACGGCTTCTTTAACTGGTATACCTTCTACAGATAATAGGGGAGAGTTTTTTAAAGCTAATATTTCACATTTTTTAAGATTAAGGTGCAAACCCGAGGCTTTAGAGAACAATTGAATGGATTTGATAGCCTGATGAACCTGGTTTGAGTCTTTTAAAATTGGGCTGTATCGTCCGCTAACTGACTAATTAAAATATTTCATCCAGCAATTTGAATTCCATCTAGTTTACTTGCCTTAATAAAGTGACAGAAGGCTTGGCCTACTATAAGAAATAAGTATACAGAGGCTGGACAGCCCTGCCGAATTCCTCTTTCTAATAGAAATCTCTGTGTAGTTCCATGTCCTAATTTCACTGAGCTATTTCCCCCAGCATACATTGTACTCATTGCATTACAAAAGTAGGGTCCAAAACCGAATTTTTCTAAACAAAAATAGATGAAAGGATGCTCAATGGTGTCAAAAGCTTTGAAGAAATCCAAAAACAAAATTAAACTATCATCTTGAATAAAATCTGAATAATCAATTAGGTCAAAAACAAGTCTAATGTTATTAAAAATGTGACGATTTTTCATAAAACCTGACTGATTTTCATCAATAATGGAGTGTAAAACCAACTTAAAACGCTTTGAAAAAATAAGGGCAAACAATTTATAATCGTTATTAAGTAAACTGATGGGTCTCCAGTTATCTAAAAGAAGTGTGTCCTTTTTAGGTTTAGGTATCAAACAAATAACACCTTGTTTCATACTAACAGGAAGCTCAGAACACTTTAAACCTTCTATAAACACTTGGGGAAGGAACGGAGATACTAATTCAGAATATAGTTTATAAAATTCGGCTGTTATCCCATCACTACCAGGTGACTTGTTACTTTTTAAATGCAAAATTGCCTCCTTAACCTCACTAATAGTAATTGGTGAGTCACACACAGTTTTTTCATCATTACTAATAGAATTAATATCACCAAGAAATGTTGTAAAGGTATCCAGATCAGCTAGATTAAATTTTGATTTATACAAATTGGAATAAAACGTATAACAATGTTGGGAAATTTCTTTGGGATTTTCAGAGACAAGCTCTCCAATTTTTAATTGACAAATAGAGTTATGTTTTGACCTATTTTTTTTCAAGCTTGAAAAAATAGGAAGACATTTGTTCACCATGTTCAAGCCACCTTTGCCTTGACCTTATGAAAGCCCCTTCTGCTTTTAATTTGTATAAATTATCCAACTTGAATTGTAAATCAATTAAGTGTTCCTTCTGGTTATCAGAGAGATTTTCAGGCAGGATCCCGGTAATAGATGAAATTTCGCTGACAATATTAGTTTCCTCAAGACGCTTAGTTTTAGCCAAATTAGCACTAAATTTTCTGAAGAATTTTCCAATTTCATATTTTAACAGTTCCCAATTAATACCAAATGAGCTTTCCTGTTTAGCTTTATTCCAATAAAAACCTATAAGCCTTTCTAGCTCTACTTTAACCTCATTATGTTCAAGTAAAGAACTGTTCATTTTCCAATAAGAGCAGCCCTTGTTAAGTTTAGAATCAGAAGAAAATAAAATTTTAATGGAAACAGCCTTTTGATCTGTTAGTGGCGTTGTTGAGATATCAATATAAATATTATCTTTATCAAGGTTTCTGGAGACTAACCAAAAGTCAATTCTTGAAAGTCTAGAAGAATTTTTATTGCTCCATGTATAAGCTCTATTATTTACATTTTTAATCCTCCAAATATCTATAAGCTCTAACCTATCCATAAATGCTTTCAAAGTTGTATTTGAATTTGACGAGCGACCAGGTGGCCACCTATCAAGAGATTCATTTAGGACAGTATTAAAATCACCACCAATCACTAAATATGCATTTGGGAATTTTGACTGCCAATAAGTAAGCTTATCTTCTAAAATAAATAGTAATTGATCATATTCAGCTTTAGAATTATACCCATAGTAATTAACAAGAATAAGGTTCACATTATAACACTTTAAAATTAAAAAAATAAAATGCCCGCTTTCATCACAGTAAGTGTGCAACACATCACCTGCAAAATTATTTTTTAAACTGGATACTCCAGCAGAGTGGTTTGTACCATGTGAGAACCATATCTCCCTACCCCACTGCGATTTCCAAAAATTAACATCAGTGACTTCTGAATGAGACTCTTGAAAAAACACAAAATCAGAACTAAATTGCCTAGAAAACAAAAATAAGGCCTTGCGTTTAACAGCATCTCTTAAACCCCTGGCGTTTAAGGACACCACAGACAAAGACATTTAAAGAACACACAAACAATGGAACAATTAACCTGTTTAAGGAAAGTTCTGTTGGCTCAGATAACTTTGTAATTATTAAAAATATATATTCTCCAAAAAAGGTCTCAAAATAAAAAACCCTCAAAAGAGCAGCACCATCTTAAACGACAAAAATTAGCAAAAAGAACTTTTTTTATAACAAATAAAATATATATAATAAGAGGCATACTCTAAATTGTATGCAACAATTCCATGTCAATGTTTGAAAAGTGCACATTAAAAGTCAAAGTCAAAATGCTAAACGTCTGAAGGCACCATGTATGCAGGATAATTTCTCCCTGTCCTTGAATGTAAGCTCTGCCTCCGACAAAAAAGGCCGTCTTCCCATCCGCACATGCTTTTTGAACCTCGGGCCACAACTTTTTTCTCCTTTCACGGTCTCCCGCTGAGAAATCTTCCATGAACCGCAGACCACTCTCTTTCAAATATGAAGAATTCTTCGCGGCTTTCCAGATAGCATCTCTGTACGAACGAACAGAAAACTGCATAATGGTCACCCTGGGAGGCTCCTTGGGACCACCTTGCTGCATCTTCCCGAGACGATGGACCACATCAATAACATCTGAGAGCTTATCCTTTGCACTTGGAAGAACATTTTGGCAGATTTTGACAACTTCAAGCCGAATGTCTTGCACAGATTCAGGATTTCCAGCTATCCTCAAATTACGTCTTCTTAAATAAGTTTCCATATCATCTATCCTTCGCTGCATATGAGCCACAGGCTGTTCGACATCATCCATGCGTTTCTCAAGATTAGTAACTTTCTCAACGACAGCTTTCAGTTCAATGGACATATCCGAGATCTTTTTCTCTATTCCGTCTGATCGGCTGTTGATTAACTGAGTTATGTCTGACAACTGTGACGAGATATCAACTCGAGTGTCATCACTTGCTCTTTTCTTTATGACTGGTGATTTACACGGAGTGACAGGCAGTGCAGGAAACTCTTCTTCAGCTAAACAGAAGGCATCATCTTCGCTCATGCAGGAAACAACATAATCATGGCCCGTAGTGGCCGGTGAGCATGCGTTAAAGCTAACGCTAACGTTAGCCGTCTTAGCATCAGCCGAAGAATTACCTGAGTGACCACGTTTACGCCCCATGACAACGCGATTCCGGGAAAAACGTAGAATTAACAACTACATAAAACGATAAACACTATAAACGACAAGTTAAAAGTTCTTTTATACTATCTAAATACTTGTGGTGCAGGAGCTCGAACAAACACGTCTGATCAGGTAGCCATCTTGGCCGCCCCACCCAGCAAACATTTGGATGTCTGATTACTGTTGAAAAGACGTCGCTCCGTCACGTGTCGTCCTGGTTGAAAAGTAGTGCCAAAATGAAAATCCAACTGACGTCTTTTACGTCTTCTGGCCGTGAATCGCACGTCTTTTCTACACGGTCCCTGCACGTCGAAATATGTCATGTTCTGGACGTTTTCTGGTTGCTTTTAAAACGTATTATTTCTTTATAATAAGTGTTTTAATAGCCTAATTATACATATAAAATAATCAAACTTATTATTTAAAGCTGTGAAATTCAATCAGGTCCAATTTCAGTCCAGTTATACCTAAACGTCTTTATAGCATTGTAATCCTGGTAAACCATAAGTAATACATTATGTAAGGATGCAATAGTGTTATGATTAAGCAAATTATTTATTGTGCATATAGTAACAGATGTACATCACTGTTAAACAGACACATCTAATAAGAATAAATAAAACAACAACACAGGGTTAATTGTTGGGGTAGTAAAATATATTTTCCTGAAATATTGTGTAGAAATAAACACAAACAATGCAAGATAAATATGTACCTGTTTATCACTCTTTTAATCAGGCTCGGACAGAACATCCACCAACTCCGGACAGTTGCTGAACCTAAATGTGACACCAAAATCACAGTCAGAGCGATCCAGACAGACAGAGACATTCTTTCACATTTAAAACTTACACAGATCCAGTTCTTCTCTTCAGCTTTGATGAACACTTCACAGGATCTCGCTCTCAGAATCCAGTCTCTTAACAGAACATGTAGACCTGCTGGAGTTCACAATGACAATTACTGTAACAGAGCAGCAGCTGACATCAGGCTAATGATGACGTGAACTTTTCTAGTTGCAATTATTTACTAAAGCGTTTATCAGAATATGCAGTAATAAGATCACAATACTCACCATAGGTATAAAACTAGCTCTAGGTTTGCAAATGTGAACTCATACACATTATACACCTAAATAAACTTTTAAGCATTCAACAAGTTTCTCACCTACTCTGGAGTGTCCTCAGGGAGTGTGATGACAGAGGATCATTTGCACTGGAGACAATTCTACAGACAAACAAAACAACAGTGAGAAAGGTAATAATTCAATTATTTAATGAACAGAAAATAAATAAATGCAAAGCCTTATATGATTCTTACAGTCGGCCTGGAGAAAGAGTCTTGAATTCTGTCTGACAGATGACTGATTGTTATTGACCCTGCAAGACAAATTTGAACCTTAATGCAGTTTAATTAATTAACAGTACAAAAACTATTTTACAGGAGCAGTTAAAAGAAAAGTGGTTAGACTTTACCTGTTAAACCTCCACATGAGCTAATAACACCTACATGCATACATTTACCATTTTATGTTAGTGTAAAATATTAAGTAAATAACTTTTTTTATATACATGCTCATGAGTTTTGCTCTTATTGTTAATGACAGCCTATTAATGTAGGCTAAACTGAATCATCAATACTGGTATTGTAGTAAATGCTGGAGACATATCTACAATAGCATGATACTGTATAGCTTTTTGTTAGGTTTTCTAACAAATTCGTGCATTATTATCATTATTAAAATGTTTTATTTCTACACTATTCCACTCCAAACTCACCTGAAATGGTAATTTTCAGCTCTGACTGAACACACAGCAGGTGGATGCTGGAAAACATGTTGACCAGCTGTCTTCCAGGACCAGTGTAGGGAACCCCTGGTAAACTGCACCAGATTGCTGTAATAACATGACATATTGCCCAAACCTGACTTACTTTTAGCATAACGGCTAATTTTAGCCTAATCAAAGCAACGCCACATCGCTACTGACAATGTGCATCATTTATTTCAGTTCCTTCGAGTAAAACTCAATAATGTTATTAAACGAATACAAACTGTACTTACACGGTAGGAGATTTGTGATAATTGTCCAACTTTTCGCCGCGTCCTCATGTTCTCGTGGTGCTGAACAAAACCGGAAGAAAATGAGATTTGAAAACAGCGATGTTAGACATATCGCGAGATTTGTTAGCGTTAGGTGCAAAAAATAAATAATTGCATTATGGTTTTAGAAACAGTGACTTTACTATCCTTTCACCGCACAGGACACTTTATGAATGTAATTGGTCAGTTGACAAGATGTAAATAAAAGTGATTTCTGTATTTCATAAAGATAAATCTGTTTTTAATGAGTTTAGATGCTTGAAATCTGTCCACGAACCCACTTGGGACACACATATATTAAGTGTATACCCAGATGTAAGTGCAATACTTTTTAATATTTCATAATTTCAGCAAGGGTTTATGATCAATGACTGTAAAAAATATGGACGACGCGACAGCCCTTTTTCCCATTGAACGCCTTGAGGGCAAAACGCCTGCTTGACGGGCACAAACTGTCGCAAAAGACTGCTGAAATTGGAGCCAGACATGCGCAGAAGGACTGTCTGATGGAGCCAGAGGAGGAGCCGCGAAAATGAGCAGAGTCGAGCTTCCAATCAAACGCTTTATGTAAAATCAACTACGCCCCCCGAACTTCTCAGCATGCGTTTGCTGTCATATCAACACAAATGGATGTAATAACGTTAACAAATATGAGGGTTTTATATATTCAATCGCGCCAGCTCCAGGCCGCAGCGCATAACTTACTCGCGGCGTCGCGGGCTGATTCCGGCTCGCATGCGGCAGCGCCTGCTCGCTCGGCCGCCGCATCTGGCTCGATTGACTCGGGCTGGAATTGGGTAGTGAGTCCAGGCATCCGGAGTAGGTCCAGCAGAGGTAACATTAGTCAGTCTGAGCTCTAAGAGATAAGTCTCCGGCAGGCGAGAATCTAGCCGGAACTGTGTTTTGCTATCTGGGTGGCTAGGCGTGTATCAGCAAACTAATAAAGCCCGAAAAAAGCCCTGAACTTAGCGAATAAACAGTGTTCCACCAGGATCATGTATGTCAGAAACTATAGTTTACTGCTGAACTCATTTTGTCATGGTAAAATAACAGAAATCGAATAATAACATTTCAGTCTCCTGCCGAAGCTCAGACGCCGCGCTTTGAGAAACTGTCAATCACAGCTGTCAATCACGATGACACGCCCAGCATTAAATTACTGCTAAAAACAAACTGTTTACAAAAATGAAGATCTGCACCTATTTCAGCACAATAACCAGTGCCTTAATCGACCAGAACTATCTTTCGGGACATTTTATTGCAAGTGTAATATTTTTTTTTATTTGGGCTCAAGTCTCCTTCATTGACACGGAGGAGGCGGGCTTTATGACTTGTACTGCAACCAGCCCCCAGGGGGCGATCTAACGGCCGAAACCTTCACTCAAACGTAGGCTTGCGGCACACTTGTTTATGATGGACTATAAATGCACGTGTAAAGGACGTCATTTTTGGACTTAATCAGGACATGGTATATATTAAACTACGTGTACATTAAATCGTAAATACACGCAACCCCAAATATAAATAGACATGTTTAAATGTATACAAGCATATATTAATGCATTTTAGGACATGTTGTGCATTTGTGCCGTGCGTTCGCGACGAATTTTGGCTGTGGAAAGCACGTCGCTTTCAGACCATCAGTACACAGTTGATGCCGTCGCGGAGCGACATCTTTTGGCCGGGGAGAGCACATCGTCGTCCGACCAATGTTTACTGGGAAGCTACTGGGAGGCTGAGGCTGCGGATCGCTTGAGCTCAGGGCTTCTGGACTGCAGTGGACTATGTCGATCGGGTATCCGCACTAAGTTCGGTATCGATATGGTGCTCCCGGGTGAGCTCGGGACCGCCAGGTCGTTTAAGGAGGAGTGAACCGGCCCAGGTCGGAAACGGAGCAGTTCAAAGCTCCCGTGCCGATCAGTAGTGGGATCGTGCCTGTGAATAGACACTGCAGTTCAGCCTGAGCGACACAGAGAGATGCTTACTTTTACATTAGTTTTTTTTTTTTTTTTTACTTTGATTTGTCTTTCTAACTGTAAAACTGAAGAAATAAAGATTTAGAGATGTATGATGACTATGCAATATTAATAGTAAGTAATAATTAAAAGTTTACTAGCAGACTTCAGAAAGTTTATTTGTAAACAAAAATACAAAAATCATCTCAATTTCATGTCTATATTTTAAAAATATGCCTTAGACAGAAATATATTGAATTTAATTGAAAATATATCAAATTAAAAAATATATATAGAGAATAATTTTACTTTAAACATAAATGGCACATTATAATTTTTGACCCCATCAGAAACAAAAGTAACACACGGGTAGGTCACAACCAGATTTACTGGCTTCATCATGTTTGTTTTAATTATATCTGACTATGACATTGTTAATTATTTTTTAATACCACCTGATATTGACGGTTAAAAAGCTTCCAGTACAAAATGGCATTTTTATTGATAAATTATATTATAGAGTATTATGCCAAATGCAGTTTTAATCTAGAAAGTTTTGTTTAATAAAATAGAGGAGGGGGATATATTTAGGAAATTAATAACACTTAAAAATAGTAAAGCAACAGGGTTAGATAATATTCCAGTGCAGTTCCCTCAAAGACTCCCTAAATGCGTCACTCCGGTGGTTACACATATTATCAATTTTTCTATTTGTCAAGGTAAAGTTGAAAAAAGCAAGAGTTATTCCTCTTTTTAAGAAAGGTAGTAGGTTTGAGGTTAATAATTCTAGGCTGGTATCAATTTTGAGTGCTTTGTCAAAAGGGAGGGAAAAAGTTATTTATTAGCACATTGAAAAATATTGTTTAAAATGTGACGTATTGTAGAGTTTCAGTCGGGTTTTAGAAAAATCATTCCACTGATTCAACAGTTTCTTTTATTTAACAAATTATATAAAGAGCGATATGGATAAAGGAAGTTAAGTGGGATGGTTTTCTTAGACCTGCAAAAAGCTTTCAATACAGTCGATCACAGGATATTGATTTTAAAAGTAAAGGCAATGGGTTTTGGTGTTTTGGCCTATAAATGCATGAAGTCTTACCTTGAAAACAGATGTCAAATAGTAGATTTAAATGGTGTGTTTTCAGATTATTCGACCGTTTCTTATGGAGTTTCACAAGGCAGTGTTTTAGGTCCTTTGCTTTTTTAATATACATCAATGATTTGAAAATGGCCTGTTCAAAAAAGCTTTTGTTAAATGCGGATGATGCAGCAATAATTGTGTCTCATGAGAGGAAGGAATTTATTGAAAATGAAATAAGTAAACAAACTGAGGAAGTCTCTTAATGGTTTAACCTTAATAAATTGTCCTTACACTTGTGTAAACCAGAATTTATTTTATTTGGTTCAGCTGCGAAACTGAGAAAATGTGTCAGATCAGAGGTAAAAGTAGAGCATCAAATTAATGAACACAAACATGAAGGGAAATATTTAGGTTCCATTTCAGACAGTAATTTGACAGGTGAGAAGATGGCTGTTATAGTCCATTCAAAAGTTCTAAAATTAAGTTTTTAGCAAGACAGACAGAGCTCTTAGATTTCCAAACTTTACAAATATTGGCTAGTGCATTAGTGTGGTCATACTTTGACTATGCTGCAGTCTTTTGGTACAGCAGTAGTTCCACAAAAATGAAAAATAAATTGCAGACGGCCCAAAATAAGTTGCAGAATTGTTATCAAAGTACTTCCACTGACACATTTAAATAATGAATATTATAGTCAAATTAATTTATTAAAAGTTGGAAAAAGGGTCACTTTTCTGAAATTGGTGATGGTGTTTAAGATTTTAAAGAAAATGGTCCCAAAATATTTACTTATTAAGATTTAGTTAGTGAGGTACACTGTCATTCTACAAGAGCGAGTAGCAGGGGTATTTGTCCTTGTAGAATTAATAGTGAAACAGGTAGAAAGTCTTTTCTGTGTACTGTTGCTTGGAATATACTGCCGAGGAGTTTTAAAGAGATTCAATTTGAGAGTTTTTAGAGAGGAAATTAAAAAATGGCTGTTTTTGTTGAAGTTGAGGATTTTTGTTGTGCTGAGTTTCTGAGCTGATGATGTTTGCACTTTATGATTTGCTCGTTCATTTTTTAAGAATATCGATGACCACGATGGAAATCAGCCTGTGGCTTTATTGTGTATTTTATCCTCGACAGTTTTTAAGATATGAATGTCAAACTGGACTTGTTTGTATATTTTTGTTAAAATTGTTAAATAAAATAATTCAATCAATTTATTCCCAATTTACACAGCGGATACCCTTCCAGCTGCAACCCAGTACTGGGAAATATCCATACACCCTCATTCACACACACACACACACACACACACACACACACACACACACACACACACACACACATACACACACTATGGCTAATTTAGTTTATTCATTCACCTACAGCATAGCACATGGGTTTGGAGCACCCAGAGGAAACCCACATGAACACGGAGAGAACAAGCAAACTCCACACAGAAATGCCATCTGAACCAGTCGGGACTCCCACCAGCAGCCTTCCTACAGTAAGGCCATGTATATATATATATATAAAGATACATTATTTTTTCCCTTAATAGCTACATTTTAAAGAAATCTATTTGCTTAAGTCAGCTGAACAGTAAACAACAACATCAATAGAAACCACCAAAGGACACCATATGAACACAGCCAAAATGACTTATTAGAGCATGCACATCTTTGTCATTCCAATGGATTTTTAAAAATATGTACATGCCGCCTTTTCTTCCATGTTTCTTGAACTTTTCCCCTTTATGAGGAAAACTATTGAATTCTATAAAAGCTGTTCAGCGTTTTATTTTTTTCAGATTAACATTTAATAGACTTTAACTAAAAGTTTTAGATTGTGAGCAGGACAGCACACTGGTTCTCCCGCAGCATGTTTGTTCATCATTTCTATCTTAATGTGTTGATCATTTTCTTTTGTGTTTCTGTATTGTGTGAAGGTCAACCAGTCCACAGTTTATGCTGCTATAATCTTTATTCGGTTTTATTCTTAAACTATGTACAATATATACACTGTGCTCACGTCAGCTCCAGGTCTCTTGGGTGAAGGTCTCTCAGTGACGTGGTCTCTTCTGGTCTCCGTGCGTCTCTGGTGGAGATGGGGAGCGGGAACGTTTCCCTCTGGCGTCCTGGACTGAAGATGCTGCACCAGCTGAGGAAGAGGAGGACAGCGGCTTGGTCTGGCAGAAGGAAGGTCTCTTTTTCTTCTCAGCAGCATAGGCCTCACTGAACAGATCGAGCGCAAACACACACAAGCAGACATAATGTGAGATTTTCACAAACAATAGAACATGCTGCAATGCCAAGTACAGTTTACTCACGCGTCTATGATGGGAATGACGTATTTGCCGCTGCCGTCCATCATGACTCCCTTTCGGTTTGGGTCGTCCACCTCCAACAGGAAGCTGCGGGGAATCCCTGTGCTCCTCCGGATGCGCTTAAGCGGAGCAGAGCTGCTGCCCTGTGAATTCATGAGTGACAGTCAAACGACAGAGCAAACAATCTGACTGATGGAGACAAGAGCTCAAGTTCACAGCAACCATAAGCTTAGAAAACCCAGTTACCCCTTTAGAGGGGCAGTGCCTAATGTGGTGTCCTGGGATCCCACAGTGAAAGCAGACATAGTTGGGTGGAAGAAGCCCAAGCAGTGTCATGGCCTCACTGATGAACATCAGAACCATGAGAATCAGCTCTAACATTTCTCACAAACCAAACCTGTCAGTGTCTGAACGCTCACCTGCTGGAGTAGTAGCACAGACTGGACTGGTACATCACCGCTTTTAGCTTGTCCTCCTCTGATGCCTTTGCCTCAGCCAGATTCTCAGTCTGTTTCACAGGCATTTGCACATTAAAATTTTATTTTACTGATTTGCTCTAAATAAACACCCTCAAATCTCCCTAAGAAGCTGTGTGTGTTTGTGTGTGTGTGTTTGTGTGTATTGTTGTTGTTTGCTTTACACAGTGTATTGATATTCTGCACTACATGTCATTATGACGCCTCAAATGCAAACACTGCAGTTCAATACAGAGCAGCACAGTGGGGTGAATTAATCATTTGTTCAATACCTTCAACAGCTGCTCCAGTGAGAGGAGTGAAGAATCACCTGTTTGAGAAGATTTAGCTGATAATCCAGCTTGATGTCTGCAAAACAAAACAAAGGAGCTTGTGTGACCAAAACACCACAGACAGACTCAAACTCTTGATATAACATCTATCAGAGGAAGATTGCGCTCATTTCACATAACTTACCCAACAAATCTTCTGTTGGAGGACTTCAGTCCAGCCGCAGGGACCCGTCTGATGATGACCGATGTGTTTTTGGGGATGAGAGCATCATCATCTGTGTATTCTGACAGCAAAATAAAGTTTGAATATAGTAATAATCATTTACCATGGTATACTTTGAGTGCCATTAGCATTTTAAAACACTCAAAACATCACTATATGTCACCATCAGAGTCATGATAACACATCACAGCTTCTACAAGTCTGTCTGATAACACATCTAATGTTAGTGTAATATAGTTTAAGTGGCTTTTCCTCATCTCACCTTCATCAGTTTGGGCTTTGCTGATCTTCAGCTGGCAGAACTTCAGCCTCTCGCGCCTCATGATCTGCCGCTTCAGCTCTCCCACAGTGATGTTGAGGCCATCAAACTGGAGCGAGTCGTAGGTGAGTCGACTCTGAAACCTGTAATGAACACAAGACATACTGAACACAAACCACAGTGTGATAACAAGGGTCAAACCTGAATGATGGGAGAAGCAGACGATCAATCGATGTATCCAACAATCAATAATATCAATAATCTGGGAATCAGTTGCCACGAAGGACGCCGAGATCAGATGCCAATGACAGAGCGGAGTTCATAACAACACAAAAAGAACCGTTGCCATGGATGCTGACGATCACGTGACGAGGCGCCGAAAACTTCCGCGTTATTTTCTCATTAATAATAGTGAAATCATTACTATGATAATAATTAAATAAACAGCAGAACAGTTGGACATCTCTGAATAAAACACAGCTGCGTTTCCTTACACGAATGATTCTGGCCTTTGTAAAGAGTCGGGCGAGTCAATGAATCACGGATTCGTGGCTGAATGAATCACTCAAAGCTTCACTTGATTCAGCGGTCTCTTGCTGCCACCTATTGGCGATTTGTTTTTTCGTTTTTAAAGTAATTTAACACTTTTTTTAAAGCCACCTTCAAATTTATTTTCTACAAAAGTTTATTTCCGTGTGTTAAAAATGATTTAAAACTCTCTAATCTCATCATTTCCTGATGCGTTTATACTGTAAATCCCTTCATGTTTGCCTTTGATCTTCATTATGTGTTAAAATCAATAAAATATTAAAGTTGCCTCATCCAAATCCAAAGTTTAGTTCAAAGCTTTATTATACAGCAATGTGTGTGTGTGTGTGTGTGTGTGTGTGTGGGTGTGTGTGTGTGTGTGTGTGTGTGTGTGTGTGTGTGTGTGTGTGTGTGTGTGTGTGTGATTGTGGCAGTGGATTACAGTGAATGTAGAAGTGATCAGAAGTGTGTGATATTTATTGTCTCTGATAATCAAAAGAACATTTTAAGAGTCCAAAAGATTTACTGCCTGATGAAGCCTGTTATAATGCAATTATGATGACCCTATAAATCTAGAATGGTCAGAACAATAAAAAATTAGGGAAAGAGATTAATTAGTATTTCTCCTCTTTTTTTTTTTTGTATGTGTAAGTGCTCCTGGAAGAAAAAGTCTGCGTCTCTCTGTGTCACTCAGGCTGCACTGCAGTGTCTATTCTCAGGTGTGATCCCACTACTGATCAGCACGGGGGATTTGACCTGCTCCGTCGCCGACCTGGGCCGGTTCACCCCTCATAACACGACCTGGTGGTCCCAAGCTCCCCCAGGAGCACCATATCGATACCGAACTTAGTGTGGACACCTGATCAACATAGTCCACTGCAGTCCAGAAGCCCTGAGCTCAAGCGATCCGCAGCCTCAGCCTCCCAGTAGCTTGGATTACAGGCGCGCACCACTGAACCCGGCGAGAGCTGAGAGAATCAGAGCTGTGGAGAATCTGATCATCACAGCGACCTCTAATAGAGAAAATGATAAATGATGAAGTAAAGTTGACTTTTTATTGGTCTTATGGCACTGTTTGGATAAAAATAAACAGCAGTACGGTCCCAAATAAAATATAGTTATTTAAACTAAATACTATAGTATTTTAGAACCACATAGTAAAGTTTATTGTACTGAATAGTATAATCACAATGTTGTGCTATTTAAAGGCAACTGTGGTGCAGAGTCGGGTTGGAAGAAACTTCAAGCATTTCTGTTTTCGTGAGGTTAAGCTGAAGATGATGATCTTTCATCCAGTGTGAAATGTCCAACAGGCAGGCTGAGATGCGAGCTGGAACCGAGGGATCATCAGGGTGAAAAGAGAGGTATAGTTGGGTATCATCAGCATAGCAGTGGTAGGAGAATCCATGTTTCTGAATGACTGGTCCTAGAGATGTCGTGTAGATGGAGAAGAGAAGTGGCCCAAGAACAGAGCCTTGAGGTACCCCAGTGTTTAGATGCTGTGGGTTGGACACTTTTCCCCTCCAAGACACCCTGAATGATCTGTCAGAGAGGTAAGATCTGAACCATTGAATAACAGTGCCTGCAACCCCCAGTGACTCATTTATATATATTATATATATATATAATGATTAATACATATGGAAACAATATTTTCATAACTAAATTATTTATGATTTGCCGTTTAACAGCGAAACATCTCGTCAAATAGGCCACAGTTCATCAGGAAATGAAAATCTTTTAAATGACAACAGAAAAGCAGTTCAGCGACTAACATTCACTCATTCAGTGAGTATCTCATTTATTCATTCATTCATTCACTAATTGAATCAACACTTTTTCAGTCACTAAATATGGTGTCAGATGCAGATGTGGCCTCTAGTGTAATCCACAGTTCATATATTGCACAATGACGCTAAAGGCCATCATATTATAAAATACTGCAGGTTGTTGGTTGCAGATTAATAATCACAAACATAATTTTTTATCATAAAACAGCTAAAACATATTTAGTGTCAGAGAGGACAAAGTGGTTTTAGTTTACCTTTTATCTTTAATATTAAACAGCTTTTTAGTCTTTAGACCAGATTAAATAACTTGTGGTACTTGTATAAACAATGTTCAGCTCAGGATCAGTAATTCAGCATGATGTGCTGCTAAAGCTGAAACAGTCTATCAATTTATGCCACAGATTGTGTGAGATTCTGTCGAGTCTTATAGATGTTAAAAACACTGATGGAGGTCAAAACCGCATCTGACACCACAGTTAGTGGATGAGTAAGAGTAAACTGAATAATAAATATGTAACTCAGTTAATGATAGTTATTCACTGCATGAATGAATGTTAGATGAGGAACTGGTATTTAAGTGGAAAATTAAAACATTAAAGCTTTACTTTTTCAGAGGTTCACTGTTTGCACAATCTTAAATGGATAGTTCACCGCATAAATATGATTGTGACGATTATGAATTAACATTTTTGGGTCAATTATCCCTTAGCTCACATAAATTATCCCAGAGCATTATTTCAGCATCGATGATCATTCACAATAGTCACATCACAAGAAATACAAGGTTGAGTCTGGATTATAATTTAGCGTTTGCGTGTGTTTCTGAGGCCTGTGACTGTAAAAGCTTTAGGTCTAATAAAATGCATAATTTGTCATTTTAATTGCAAATCATTTTATTTAATTAAAAAAAATGAAGACAATAGCAGTATTATTTTACATTTCATTTTTACATTACTGTACCTGAATACTGTTTGACTCGTTGAAAAACAACAAAGCTCTGTTCATTTTATTTCAGAATTTCATATTGTATTTTTCTCTGCTCGTAGATTGTTTGTAATGTTTTATGCAGATGCACACCTAATATAAACAAATCACCCATTCTGTAATATGTTTTCTACAGCTATATGTATTATGATACAATAAACCACTTTTACTGTAGTAAAAAAAACTAAAGTATACTACAGTATTTATTACAATTTATCAGTTGATACAGAAAACAGAATGTTGTGGCACTCATAAAATGAGTTGTAAAGGCTAATAAATATGGTATAATAATCTTTAGTTCAAAAATACTATGTTGATACTAATTACTGTAATTTTTTTATTTGTGATCATACTGCTGTATATTATTATCTAATGTCATAAGGCTATGAAGTCAGTTTTTATTCATCATTCAGTTTTCCTCCACTAGAGGTCGCTGTGATGATCAGATTCTCCACAGCTCTGATTCTCTCAGCCCTCGCCGGGTTCAGTGGCGCGCGCCTGTAATCCAAGCTACAGGGAGGCTGAGGCTGCGGATCGCTTGAGCTCAGGGCTTCTGGGCTGCAGTGGACTATGTTGATCGGGTGTCCGCGTTAAGTTCGGTATCGATATGGTTCTTCTGGGGGAGCTCGGGACCACCAGGTCGTTTAAGGAGGGGTGAACCGGCCCAGGTCGGAGACGGAGCAGGTCAAATCCCCCGTGCTGATCAGTAGTGGGATCGCGCCTGTGAATAGACACTGCAGTGCAGCCTGAGCGACACAGAGAGACGCAGACTTTTACACTAGTTGTTTTTACTCTGATATATCTTTCTAACAGTAAAAAAGAAGCAATAAAGGTTTTGAGATGAATGACACAGAAATTATCTCAATTTCATGAGTATATTTTGAAAAGATGATGTTTTAGACAGAAATATGTTTTGCTGTGGTTACTAACTCATAAGTGTGGTCTATCAATATCGGGTGGTATTTAAAAAAATTATAGAAGAATTTCACTTTAGTTCTCTCCGTGTTGGTGTGGGTTTTCACTGGTTGGTCTGGTTTACCCCACAAGTCCAAAGACATGCGGTATAGGTGAATTGGGTAAGCTAAATTGTCTGTAGTGTATGGGTGTTTTCCAGTAATGGGTTGCAACATGGGAGGGCATCCTCTGCGTAAAACATATGCTGGAAAAACTGGCGGTTAATTCCGCTGTGGTGACCCCCGATTAATAAAGCGACTAAGCCGAAATGAAAATTAATGACTGAATGAATTTCACTTTAAACATAATTTACACATTGTTACTTTGAACCCATCATCTGATATTTGGCAGCTCCATCAAGGGTTCTGCATTGTGTTTTCTTTTTATTGTGGGTATAACCAGACAGGTATCAGCAGTTGTGACGGCTCTTTAATCACTCCTGATGTAAACAAAAGCAGAGATTTTACAGTGTGTCTTCGCCCTCATCACTTTTACATGCTTCAATCAGACAAATATAAATCAAAACCTCAATTAAAGTGAAAACACAAAAATAACGAACTATGTGAAATATGTGAAAAAGAAAGTTATACATAATATTGAAACATAAGAACTGGCTTCAAAAGACAAGTAAATATGATTTAAGATTAATTAGAGCTGCAGACACCCACCTCTCCCATGTGCAGTCAGTACAGAAAAGGAGGAGGCGGGTGCAGAACAGGAAATTAAAAAACTTAAGCTTTCTTAGAAATTTAAAGGAGCAGGTATACTTAATAAACACTTCAGGTAAAACACACATTTTGTGTAATTCTATAAATAAAGTGAACTATTATTTCCATACCTGTTACACAGGCCCGGATTGGCTAATCGGGAGCACCGGGAAAGTTTTTTGGCCGCGAGGGCCGGTGTCCCTAGCTGCTTGCACTCTCAGCAGTCGCACTTTTTTCATTTATTTATTTGACCATAGCCTCACTCTTTTTATTTATTTTCTCGCAGGCAGCAAAACGCAGCCGGCAGGTTAATGATGATCATTTAGCATTCGACCTTAAACAGCGGCACCTTAGTGAAAAAAAGAA